GTTAAGGGGAGACCGGGCCATATGTGTCTCATCATCCAGCAGGCTAGCCCTTGGCTTCCGCATGGCAGCTGGAGTTTTCAAGCCTCTGTTGGAATCACATTTGCTACTGTTTTATTGACCAAAAATAGTCACAAGGGAACCCAGGTTCAAGGATGTGGAGGAAAACTGTATCCCCTGATGGAAAGAGCCATAAACTCCTGTGGCCAGTTTGTAACTCATCACACTTAGTCAATCTTGACAACAGCCCTAAAGTGAGAAGTATTATTATTACTGCTATTTTACAGATTAGGAAACAGTGGCATAAAGCAATCGGATAAATTCAAAGTCACCTGGCTTGCAAGAAGTCATCCTGGCATCCAGGATGCCAACTCAGGCTAGTCTGAAAACGTCCATGCTTCTAGTTTGCCCTCGATGAAGAGCTTAGGTTTGACTGGCCTCAGATAGCTGATTAGATCCCACCACTGTCACTCCTGGCACGTCCCAGATACTCTATAATTCCTAGTTCCTTTCTTCCCTTCTTAATCTGATGTAGATTAGCTTCCTTTCCTTTCCTTTCCTTTCCTTTCCTTTCCTTTCCTTTCCTTTCCTTTCCTTTCCTTTCCTTTCCTTTCCCCCCTCTCCTTCTGTCCCTCTCTCTCTCCCTCTCTCCCTCTCTCCTTCCCTCTCACCCTCTCTCCCTTCCTCTCTTCCTTCCCAAATATGTGACCACCAATTGCATGTCAGATATCATTTTAGGTGCTGGAGATATAACAGCAAACAAGATAGGTGAAGACCTTGCTTTTATGAGCCTTACTTACATGCTAGAGGAAGAGAGAGAGAATGGAAAAAAGCAAATACAGTTCACCCTTGAACTACATGAGTTTGAACTGCACAGATTTACTTATACGTGGATTTTTTTGATAAATGCAGTACAGTACTACAAATGTATTTTCTCTTATGATTTCCTTTGTTTATTTATTTATTTATTTTACACGTGTATTTATTATTGAGAGACAGAGAGACACAGAGCATGAGCAGGGGAGGGGCCAAAAGATGGAGAGACACAGAATCCGAAGCAGGCTCCAGGCTCCGAGCTGTCAGCACAGAGGCCAAAGCTGGGCTCGAACTCACAAACCATGAGATCATGACCTGAGCTGATGTCGGACACTTAACCGACTGAGCCACCCAGGCGCCCCATTAAGTTTGTTTATTTTTGAGAGAGAGAGAGAGAGATAGCGCTAGTGGAGGAGGGGCAGAGAGGGGGACAGGATCTCAAATAGGCTCTGCTGTGCTGACAGCAGAGAGTCCACTGTGGGGCTCGAACTCACACACTGAGGTCATGACCTGAGCTGAAGTTCAATGCTTAACCAACTGAGCCACTCAGGTGTCCCCCCCACCGTAGGATTTTCTTAATAACATTTTCTTTTCTCAAACTTACACATATGACATACGAAATTATTTGTTAACTGACTTCATGCTATCTGTAAGGCTTTTGGTCATCAGTAGGTTAATAGTAGTTAAGGTTTTGGGGAATCAAAAGTTATATGCAGATTTTCTACAATGTAGGGGTTAGCACCCCTTACCCCAGAGTCTAGAGACTTGACTTCTCTCATTCTCAAGTCTCCTCTATAAAATAAGAGTGTTGGAGAAAATGGTAGCCTTGGTTATTCCTAGAAAGAGAAGTGGTAAGGAGGTAGGAGAAAGACCTTCCACGCTATAATCTCTTGATTGTCTTTTTAAGTGAGACTCTTCTAGCTCCAAGATTTGATGAACAGTACAGTATAATATTATTTGTTTTGTTGCCTGCAGCTTTTCTGAGTCCTTTTTAAGCCCAAAGAGCCATTAAAAAAGAAAATAGTTAAATAGAGGAAACATAGGACCATACGTTTTCCTTAGCTTAACATGATCTTAGTTTCTCTCTTAATTAACAAAGAAACTGGGGGGAAATGTACACTTCATAGATATTGATGGCTGACTATTTCTGTCACAAAAGGATTTGGCTGTAGGATTCAGGGTTCAGTAAACTTAATTTATACTGAATTTTTAGGAGCGTTTCAGTAAATAGGGACTTGCTGCCACCTGCAAGTTGTATGACATCACTTAGAGGGGCACATAGTGGAAAAAACAGATGTTTCATAATGATGCATTTCTGGCTTCTATCAAGTCTAAATCCTGACTCTTAGCTGAATAACTTTTGGTAACTTAAGCTCCAGGCAGCAGTTTCTTCATCTATAAAGTAGAAATATTGATCACAGGCCCTTGGCCACAATTTCCCAACTGGCAAATGATCTGAAAATGAAGAGCGTTTTCATAAATGTGGCCCAAAATCATTTGGCAGCAAACCTGCCCTGAATCAAAATGATCCTGGCTTAATATATTCACACTGCTGTGCAGAAGAAATATTAACAATTAATTATGGGACGTTACTCCATAACAACTGAGGCTGTATGTGCCTCTTATTGCCTGCTTTCTACAACACTAAAAATTCTGAATTCTGCACGCATCCGGCCATGAAGATTCGATGTAGGTGGGTGTAGGTCTGTAATATCTTCCTTAAAGCGTTTTGTATGGGTAAAAGGTAATGTCTGTATTGTGCTTAGCATGCAGTATCTGCCCAACATATGGTAGTTATTAATCTTATTGTTACATAAATTTGGCTCCGTGTATAGGGTTTCTCCCTATTCTGAGCGATCTGTGTTAAAGTCTTAAGGAAAGCTGTCAGAAGGGTTGGTAGCTTGTGGAACTTGAGGCTGGAGCCCCAGTCCTGGAAGCTCAGTCTTGCACTTCTGGCCACTGCACACTCTTCCTCCAAATGCCCTTCATCCCTGTTTTCTCTTACTTGAGAGTTCTCTGGAGTGTACTTCATCTCAGACAGCAATGGATAATGTCAGGAGGCTCTAGGGACAGGCAGCAGTTAGCCCTAGACTTTTTTTCCACCCTCCCCTGCCTGCCAACTCATGCGAATCAAGCAGTGGAAATTTTTGTAGTGAGCAGAGTTTTTTCCAGTGTTTAGTAGTTAGAGCTTCCTATATCTTCTGGATAATTTGAAGAACTTACTGTTCAGAGCGAGGAACTGAAACAAATAGGTGACCGAGAAAGAATGATGGAAGGAGATAGGGAAGGGAGTTATTGACTTTGTTTTAAGAGTGGAGGAGGTGTTGGTAAGGAGGGGTAGTATTCTTTAAGGTTGCTGCTGTCCAGCTTTTTAATGGAACTCATGGTTAGAAATCAGCCCCAAAGCCATTAGGTATAGCTGAGGATTAAAACATTTGGCAGTGCGGAGAAAGGCATCATTGTGGCCTGGTAACAACAGTTCATGTGGAGAGCTTGCCATGGAGGTCAGGAATAGCTGTTGTTCTGTTTCTTTTGTTTCATTGTGAAGCCTTGCCTCTCCACACTTGAGAGGGAAGGAGTTGGTGAATGGTTTTTAAATACTCTGAATGTATTCATTTATTCATCAAACCTTCACTGAGTATTTTTATATGCCAGACACTGCACTAAATGATTTTACTAATATACAGTACTGAGTAAATATTAATTTTTATTAATAATTAAAGTTTTTTAAAAGGTTTATTTATTTTTGAGAGAAAGAGAGAGAGAGCGTGAGCAGGGGAGGGGCATAGAGAGAGGGAGACACAGAATCCAAAGCAGGCTCCAGGCTCTGAGCCATCAGCCCAGAGCCCCACACAGGGCTCAAACCACAAACCACCTGAGCCAAAGTCAGAGGCCTAACCAATTGAGCCACCCAGGCACCCCTTTACTAATAATTTTTTTAATTGAACATTTTTTTAATTGAACTGAAATGAAATTCTCATGAGTATATGATATTTTTTTTAAAGGTTAACTCTCTTGACAGTATGATATGCATCCATGATGGGAAATTTAGTTAATATACACATATGAAAAGGACATGGGTCCACTGGGGTTCAGGGTTCATTGTTAACATTCCAAAGTGGTGTATCCAACTAGTGATATGCCATATGTATATTTTTAACCACTGTCCTGTTTGATACTTCACATGTTTCCTTCTCTTACAAAGACAGTGAGGAGACTGGGGTTGGGGGGAGAGTAAGTATATGGAAACTCTGTACTTCACACTGAATTCTCTTGTGAACGTAAAATAGCTCTAAAATTAAAGTCTGTAAAACACACACATACACACACAGTCAGCAATTCTTTGAGATGTGCTTGAATTGAAAACATGGCTTTTTTTTTTTTCCCTAGAAAAATGATTCTCGTTTTCCTTAGGGAAGAGTAAAGTTCAGGAAGCAGCTCATTACAGCTCACTAGTTTGAAAGAGAAAGAGGATTAGAAATATTAAAAGTAACAGCTAGCTTTCCAGGGGATAGAAGACGTTCAACAGGTGTTAAAAGCCAGAGGTGGACAGTAAAGTGCGAGAAACAGGTTTTATTCAGAAAAACTAAAGGGGAAAAGACACCCCAGTGTAGACTTGGGCTCAATTTCGAATACGACAAGGAAGAGTGGGGATTTCTAGCCAAGGAGCAGAGTGAAGGGGTCGGTGGATGGAAAATGACTGAGATGAAACATCTGGGGTGAGGGGCATTCTAGCTAAAGGATCTAACCTAAAGGAATTCTTGCTGGAGGCAGGCCAGGGCGTTGGGATGATGAGAGATGAGGAGCCCTGCAGGACGGTCAAGGTGATCGTTAGCAGGATTATTGCTAAATTTGGGCATTGCCGGGATAGGCACAAGCACAGAAATGTAAGCTTCAGAGAGCCCGACTTACGTTTGGTCAAGGAGAGGTTCTGTCATCAGGAGGAAAAGCCAGCTTGGCAGAATGGACAGGGCTCCGCCAGCCATCAGTGGGTTCTGCGGCCTCGGGGAAGACCGGGAGGAAGGTGGGGGTGGTGGAGGGGTCTCCCGACGCGGGGCCGCGGGGGCGGGGCTGACCTCAGGAGGGCGGTGGCCCCCCGACTGGGTGGGCGGGGCGGGCGGAGGCGCGCAGCCGCTGGGCCTACCGTGCTGGCCTGGTGGGGTGGAGGGAGAGCCCGCCCCGCCCTCTGGGGCGCGCCTCCCGGATCGGCTCGGGTCTATGGAGGAAAAATTCTACGCCAGCCCTGCGATTTCCATGGCCGCAGCCGCCTGCGGCACCAAGGCCATGTCCCTATTCAAACGGACCTTGGTGCTGAGCCCCGCCGCGGCGCCCCGGGGTACGGGCACGGGCTCCCCGCCACGCGGCTGCCCCTTGCCTCCCGCCGCCTGGCCCTCCAAGGACTGGCCGCGCGCAGAGGGCGTCTGCGGCAGGCTGCGGAGCCCGCCGGTGGCCGGCCGCCTGCCCCATTCCCACTCCTGCTCCGCCGCGTCTCCCACCGCCGTGTGTCTTCTCTGCCCGCAGGATTCGCTCAGCAGCAGCTTGAAAACTTGCTACAAGTATCTCAATCAGACTAGTCGCAGTTTCGCAGCTGTCATCGAGGCGCTGGATGGGGAAATGCGGTGAGTGGCCAGACAGCTCCTTTTTGCTTGGGGCAAGAAGGCTTTTCCAGGGGACTTTGAGCCACTCGAAGCTACTTTCTGACAGTCCCTATCATTGCAGTCTCCGTTTGTGGCTCAGCTAGAACGTGCCCCACTCATGCCCCACCTGAGTGAAGGCAATGTCTCGTTGGAACACCCATGTATTTACTTTAGAATGCCCTTCCAGGCAGTTAGCCATCTAGTAGTTGCCCTGTGGGCCCAGCTTCAGGGAAGCGGGGAGGAAGGCGGGGGGAGTGGATGGTGGTGTTTATTAACTTTTTTTAGTCCTGGCAGCGGAACCTGTCTCTGAGGAGGTCATGCATTTTTTTTCTTGGCTTCCCTTATGCTGCTTTGCAATTCTAGTATATGGGGTTAATTCTTCCCAAGTTGCTGCTGTGCAGGCTGCATACATGAACCCAGACCAATTGCCTTGGTGTATGATAGCATTTATACCGAGAAGTTTTAGCGTCTTCTGACATTTTAATCTACAAAATATTTGCTCCATGTAAACACTTGGTTTGCTGATCTTTGTATGGTTGTTCTACAGTAGTTAAATGTAACTCATTCTGGGAGTAGTTGTGACATCCAGCTGCTAGGTTTTTTATTTCGTGTTTTATAAATAAACCACTGAAGTCCATTGCTCCCATCTAAGAAAAGAAAGCTGAGATGGCTCATTAAGTACAAAAGGGTTTGGCTCTCCTTTCAGAGTTCTTTAGAGGTAAGGCTGTAGGAGGTTTGCATTCATGACATATTATTTTAAAATACATATCTTTGGATGTTTATCTGTTACATTAATAGTTCTTCCATTTTTTACAGCCATGCGGTATGCATATTTTATCTGGTCCTCCGGGCTCTGGACACTCTGGAAGATGACATGACCATCAGTGTAGAAAAAAAGGTCCCACTGTTGCACAACTTCCACTCTTACCTTTATGAACCAGACTGGCGGTATATGGAGAGCAAGGAGAAGGATCGACAAGTGCTAGAGGACTTCCCAACGGTAGTGGAATTACAAATGTCTTCTGCCTATGGTTGTGTTGATAACTGATGATATAGTTGGCGGCTAGCCCCCATACCTGGAGAGAGCAGTGAAATAAGCAGTCTGAGGACAGTGTCATATACTGTGCTGGGTAAGAACTCTGGTAGCCAAGACTCTGAAGCCAGACTGCCACCTCTTCCACTTAGTAACCGGTGCTTAGTGATGTAGCCTGTCTAAACGTCAGTTTCTTCATCTATAGAGATAATAATAATACCTACCTACCCATAGTATTGCTGTGAGATTTCTAAGATTTAACACAGGTTAGAATGGTGTTAGCTTCTATTATTGTTACCAGTATGCTGCTCGGAAGTCCAGTATTTCCTTCTTCAGAAAGTTACATTCTAAATCCAGTGTGGTAACAGATGGATTCTCAGGCTCATTCACAAAACCCGTTGCCATGTAATACAGCCGAAGGCTTCTGGTACCCTTAACCTGGTAGTGTGGATGTGTTGTTCTTGATGTTGTTCTTGACGGGTAGTCGCCATGGGGTAGGGAGCAGGCTCTTAGCAGCTGGGGTGAGGACTGACAAGCACAATGATGCCCTGCCACTTATGGCCTTTGTCTGTGCCTTGGTTTCCTCATTTGTAAAGTTGAGAGCTCTCAGGATTGATAAGTTCATATGTATAAAGTACTTAGGGACACCCGGATGGCTCAGTTGGTTGAGTGTCCACCTCTTGGTTTCAGCTCAGGTCATGATCCCAGGTCATGAGACAGAGCCCAGCATTGGGCTCCATGCTGAGGGTGGAGCCTACTTCAGATTGTCTCTCTCTATCTGTCTATCTCTCCCACTCTCCCTCTGCCCCTCTCTCCCACTCATGCTCCCTCTCTAAAATAAAATAAATAAATGAACATAAAATACTTAGAAGATTGCTTGCTGCATACTAAGTATTCTATAAATACTAGGTGTTTAGTCCATTCTGTTGGAGTAAAGTGGGTTATAATTAAACTCTTGAGCTTTAGAAAATTGACAAGTTTATGTTACACGTGTCATTAGGTCTTTTCTGGAATTTGCATGTCTTATCACACAAATAAGTGTTTCTTTCATATCTTATGTATAAAGGTTTGATTTAGCAAAGTCTCATGTTCTCTAAGAGCCCAAAGAAGCCCTTCTTTTTATGCACAATTTCTAGAATCTGGGGGGAAGAATAGTCCTCACGTGGCTGTTGCCATTGAAACAGGTCTATATTCCAGTGAGGAGGTGAGGAGTCCACCCATTACAGAAGAATGTTGGAGACACTCCTTGGGTGAGGAAGGGCTATTTCAGAGTACTGAGATCATACCTTCACTGTCAAAGACAAAAATAAAATACGGTATGATTCAAACCAAAAGAAAAAGTCTGTGAGGAATTATTAGGTGGAGCTGATCCAGTGCACTGCTATGATACAAGAGAGGAAGAAGAACCTGGGACACATAATTAGGTGAGGAATTAGAGCTCTCGCCTAGAGAGGGTACCAGTGATATGACTCTCCCAGGATACCTCTCACATGAGCAGAACTTGGGTTTCCTCTGACTGGAAATCCACAGACATTCGCTGATGAGCTTGTGACACTCCACTAATGCAGAGAAAGTGCTGCAGACAGAGTCCCAGAGCCTTTATTTATTTGTTTATTTTTGAAAGAGAGAGAAAGAGAGAGTGCGAGCGGGGAAGGGGCAGAGAGAGAGGGAGACACAGAATCCGAAGCAGGCTCCAGGCCCCGAGCTGTCAGCACAGAACCTGATGTGGGGCTCGAACCCACAAACTGTGAGATCATGACCTGAGCCGAAGTCAGATGCTTAACCAACTGAACCACCCAGGCGCCCTGCTCCCAGAGCCTTTATTATTGATGTGTATTCTCACTTTAAAAAGTGATATTCTAGCTAGAGCCTCCAAAACCAAAAAAACCTTCCAAACTACTTTTGACTTGAGTAAATTCATAACAAATAATTTCTAGTCATGGGAAAATGTCATAGGTATTTTAAAAATCAAGGTGCCCCTATCCACTCAGCAAAAATAGATATGAAAATGTGTGAATGCTAGAATAATTTTGGGGGGGTAGAGCTGATAAATGTTTACATAATTCGAATATGCTTAGAAAACCAAAATCTTCTCCTTTATAAATACATTGCAATGCATGTATTTATAAATGCATTGCAATGGAAAAAAACGACAGTTTGTTCAAGAAAATTGCAGCATTAAATCTATCTTTTCCTGTGTTGGGGAGTAGAGTGAGAGCTGACAGGCACTACTGTCCTGAAAGCAGAGACTAGCCCTGGAAGAGGAGAAGGGAGCAGAGAGTACAGGCCAGGCATCATTATTTTGCTGTTGTTAACCCTTTATATCCTTATGAATGTGAAATCTATGGGAGCTAGGTGTTTTGTGAGAGTGTAACTGTGTTTTGTTTTGTTTTTTAATTTTTTTTAGGTTTATTTATTTTGAGAGAAAGAGAGGGAGTGAACAGGGGAGGGGCAGAGAGAGAGAATCCCAAGCAAGCTCTGTGCTGTCAGCCTAGAGCCTGATGCGGGACTCGAACTCATGAACCATGAGATCGTGACCTAAGCTGAAACCAAGAGTCAGACGCTTAACCGACTCAGCCGCCCAGGCGCCCTGTGAGAGTGTAATTTTGAATTGGAGGTCCTTTCAGCCTTTTGTTCGATTGAGATAGAAATATATGGAAATTCATGGTGCCTTACTTTCTTAAGGAAAGGTTTGTGCACATGCTGATCTCTCCCACCATCTCCTTGAAATAAGATGCACAATTTGAAAGGTAAAGCCGTCTGGTTAGGCGGACAGTCAGTTTTGGGCAAGGGCCTAAAGGCAGAATAGATAACTTGGCCTCACTCACACAGTACTGCTCTTTCTTAGACATGGCACACAGCCATTTCTTTTTTTATGTTTTATTGTTTACTTTTGAGAGAGAGGGTGTGGGGGAGGGGTAGAGAGAGAGGGAGACAGAGGATCTCAAGCGGGCTCCAAGTTGATAGCAGAGAGCCGGATGCGGGGCTCAAACTCACAAACTGTGGGATCATGACCCGAGCCAAAGTCGGATGCTTAACCGACTGAGGCACCCAGGTGCCCCTCACAGTACTGCTCTTAGACTGAAGCAAGGAGGGCCCTACTCTGAGGCAAAAGGGGGGCTCCTCTTCAAAGGGGTGGGGGGGGGGTGCCAAGAACTGATGCAGCTCCCCTTCTAGACTATGCTCTGAGTGTCTGGAATTCCCTACCCTCAATTCCCTGAGCCACCGCACCCCTAGGCCTCCTCGTGCTGGACAGAGTGGGTGCAGCGTGGGGGTGGGATCAGCGGTCTGCCTTGCTGCATTTCAGAACCAAGTCCTGAGGGAATTGTAAATTCACACTTGAGGCCTTCAGGCTGTTGTGGAGGTATCTCTGTCAAGGCAGGAGAACAGAACGTACTGTTTCACAAGTTACTCGTTTAACAAGCGACTGATAATTTTAAGATAACTTTCATCCCAGGCCGTGTGGATTTTAGGCATAAGCCTAGACAGAGAGTTCTGTCTAAGTGCACACTTCCTCAATGTGTGTGCCTTGAGATTGAACCTGGTATTTTATGCTTTAGTGGTCAATACTTGAAAGTCAGGCTTTCTAGAACTCTCATTGTACATTATGGATGAGATATCTTTTTCATCTGGTACTAGTGGAAACTAGCAGTCTTCAAGATAACATGGGGTTATTTTTAAATGATAATAGCAATAATAATATTTATCGAGCTGTGAATTAGTTACAAAGTATATTTCATTAGTGATTTACTATTTGTATGATTTTGTGTTAATGTAGTTTTAATATTTAATCACTGGCATATTTCACTGCCCTTTTATTTTTTTATTATATATTTTAATATTTATTTTATTTTTGAGAGAGAGAGAAAACATGCAAGCAGGGGAGGGGCCGAGAGAGGGAGACAGAGGATCCGAAGCAGGTTCTGGGCTGACAGCGGAGAGCCCGATGTGGGGCTCAAACTCAATGATCCGTGAGATCCTGACCTGAGCTGAAGTCAGACGCTAAACCGACTGAGCCACCAGGCGCCCCATTTACTGCCTGTTTAAAAATTTGTCAAAAACAGGACTTGGCAAATAAGCGAAGGTAGAATTACCCGGTGTTTTGATCATAAGGTCCTGAAATTTACAGGGAATTTTTAGTATAGGTTAATGGAAATGTCTTGCTACCCTTGACCCCTACTTTGGTGTTTGGCCTTTCTCCATTATACGAGCAGATTCACCATGCTATCCTTGAGTGTGACTCAAGGACCTAGAAATCTGTAGTTGTGAAACACAGTTACCTGGAGGGACAGTAAAAAGTCCTCATGGCTCAGGGCGCCTGGGTGGCTCATTTGGGTGAGTGTCTGAATTCATCTCAGGTCATGATCTCACAGTTCATGAGTTCGAGCCCCGTCTCAAGCTCTGTGCTGTCAGCGCAGAGCCTGCTTCAAATCTTCTGACCGCCTCTCTGCCCCTCCCCCACTTGTGCTCTCCCAGAAATGAATAAATATTTAAACAAAAACTGTCCTTGTGGCTCATTTCACTCAACAGAGCTTGCTGTTGCTCCTAGAGAGTATGTGAAACTGGGTGCCAAGCACAGAGGAGCCCCTCAGTGCTCTCCCTCCCTCAGGTGTCTGGGAAAACATAGGGCTCTTCACTATCACCCTTTTTTTTGTTGTCGTTAATGTTTGTTTATTTTTGAGAGAGAGAGAGACAGAGAGAGACAGAGAGAGAGACAGACAGACAGACAGACAGACCACGCATGAGCAGGGGAGGGGCAGAGACAGAGAGGGAGACACAGAATCCGGAGCAGGCTCCAGGCTCTGAGCTGTCAGCACAGAGCCAGAAAGCGGGGCTTGAACTCATGAACTGTGCGATCATGACCTGAGCTGAAGTTGTACCCTTAACCCACTGAGCCACCCATGCGCCCTCCTAGATATTTTTGTTTTCATTTTTTGAATTCTATAATTAGATAATGATAAATCCCAAAAAGTTGTTGAAGGGGATGGTTCACAGTCAGCAGTGAAGTGTTTCTTTTGGTGTGCTTGATTTTAAGAATCTAAGCCCTTCCTCTTTCCTCACCTCACTGGTCTTTGTTCTCATAAACAGAATGACCTAGTCAAGGATCTGTTGAAAGAATGGGGTCCTAAGGAGATTCAGGGATTCAGATGCCCTTTGATAGAGTTGCTCATTTGTTTCAGTCCGTAATAGAAATGACTTTTTGGCTTTGTCTTCCAGCTGTTCTGGAAAGAACAGTGTTCTGGAAAGATTAGATTGATTTTGTGGACTTTTGGGATTGTTTTTAATTTCAGTTTTTATTTTTGGGGGGAGAGGGAGGTTTTTTTGCACTGACAGTGGCGAGCCTGATGTGGGGCTTGAACTCACAAACCGAGAGATGATGACCTGAGCTCAACCGACTGAGCCACCCAGGCACCCCGGACTTATGGGGTTTAACAGTTTATGTTATTCAGAGTAATGGTAAAATATCTTAGGCCTCTGAATCCCGTGCTGTGCCACCAGCTGGTTTTTCCTCAGGTCCTTACGTATAGGTGTTTCTTGAACAAGTTTTTCTAACATTTCTGCAAACACAGACCAAGTCATTCTCATACTTCTGATGATTAATAAAGTCTGTTAACTGTTTTCAGTATTGTGTGTTGCCTCTATTAATATTTTGTAGCATTTTATGAAGTTTCATGGTGTTTCCATATTGTGTTTTGATCACCTATAAACACTTCTTTGAACTTAGGACGTTTGTATAATAGCAGTGAATTTAAAAAATATCAGTATGATTTCTACATTAGAGTTTGGGCTATGGAAAAAAATGTTGGGTAGCATGCCTCAGGTTGGGGTAAATTGAGTTGTTTGAGGAATTAAAATGTATAGCCTTCCAGAGGGGAGACACTATAACTTCAAGATAGAAATTTGGGAATTGATGATAGATAATGGTTGGCTGATCTCCTCAGTAAACTGTACAGGGGCAGGAGTTTCTGGTCCTTTCCAAGGCTGTGTATCCCCATTGCCTAGAACAATGCTTGTTGTGGGGGAAGTGCTTGATACATGTTTGCAGGAATGAGTCTCCCATCCCATGAGGTTTGTCTAAAATGGGGCATTCTTGGGGCGCCTGGGTGGCGCAGTCGGTTAAGCGTCTGACTTCAGCCAGGTCACGATCTCGCGGTCCGTGAGTTCGAGCCCCGCGTCGGGCTCTGGGCTGATGGCTCAGAGCCTGAAGCCTGTTTCCGATTCTGTGTCTCCCTCTCTCTCTGCCCCTCCCCCGTTCATGCTCTGTCTCTATCCCAAAAATAAATAAACGTTGAAAAAAAAATTTTTTTTAAAAATAAAATGGGGCATTCTTCCTAAAATTCTTATGTTTATGCCTACTCTATATTGAGGCATCTTATTTATTATATAATGGAAAGATGAGCATGTTGTGAGATTTTTGAATTTTCTTTTGAGTGTAGAAATCTTGGCATTTTTAGACCCTTCTATTTTAATAAATATAAAATTTCTGAGTTTATTATTCAGTATATAGACTAGCATAACCTAGATGTTAGGCTTATAGATGAATCATTTGGGAGCCTTAATGGGTTCCACTATTGCTTTGTTTTACAATCTATAGGTAACCATGTTGGTTCCCAATGTACCTACATGTTTCATATTTTCTCTGTTTTTTGTGTGATTTCTATTTCAGATCTCCCTCGAGTTTAGAAATCTGGCTGAGAAATATCAAACGGTGATTGTTGACATTTGCCGGAAAATGGGATTTGGGATGGCGGAGTTTTTGGATAAACACGTGACATCCGAACAGGAGTGGGACAAGGTGAGCGGTTACAAAGCATTGTTGGTGTGTGGTACGTGAGACAGAGCTGAGGGTGTTCACTGTCAAGTTCAGAAAGAGGGATAAAGTTGTCCACCCATTCCAGGTTTTCTGCTTTTACAACCCATCTGTTTAGTTTGAATGGCTCATCATAAACACTTAATATAGGGGCTTATCCTTGAATACTTGAACTAATCCATGCCCTAGAAGGAGTTTACCAGTAAGTCAGGCCAAAGTAGATACAACTTGCCCCAGGGGTACAGATGTTAAGCTTCTAAAAGTGTCTCTGACTCGCTGTGATATTTTAGATAAATGGCCAAATTGCTTCATGTAGTATAAAGATATCAGTGGTTTTCATATCTTAAAAATGTTTGTTTTTTTATTATTTTCTTCCGTTTCTGAGTACATGTGTATGTGTACACACCTTAGTATCTGAATCCTTTCTCCAGTTCCATCTTAACACAAGATTACATTTATTTATTTATTCATTCATTTAAAGTTTATGTATTTTGAGAGAGAGAGCATGAGGAGGGGGAGGGATGGGGGCGGGGAGAGAATCCCAAGCAGGCTCTATACTGATACCCAGAGGCTCGATCTCACGAACTGTGGGGCTCAGTCTCACAAACTGTGAGCTTATGACCTGAACCGAAATCCAGAGTCAGATGCTTCAAGGACTGAGTCATCCAAGTGCCCCTACCCAAGATTACTTTTAAACTCGGTGCCAGCTTGACCCCATTTGTTTGGGAGAAGTAGGCATTCCTCAAACTGTTAAATTTGTATGTGTATTTCCTTAGAAACAAAAACAAGTTTAATGAGAAACCAAAGATAGTGACTTTGGATCTTGGGTGTGTTGTGTTGAGGAGTGAGCACCTCTCCAACACCTTACCTTTTTCTTTCCCATCATCTCCTTACAGAATTAACACAGTATGAGATGTTCCAAGTTTCTTGACCTCCCTCCCCCAATTCCTATGGCGGTTATAAATGGGTATGTGCGGGGATTAGCGGTGGGAGACCTCACATGGATGAGGTTATCCTCTTCAGGAGACAGAGTAGCTGGAAAGGGCTATGAGAGCAGATGATGTGGCAGATAAAATTATAATGGCTTTTATTTGGCCTGAGTTTATTCCTGAGCAGCAGCTGAGTAGGATATTAGCCAGGGTAGGAGTAGGGGGCAGGGAGAGAGTGCTTTTCTAGACAAAGTGACCTAATTGACTCTGGGGACTAAAGTAAACATCAGAATACAGGACAGAAGGGAGAGGTCTTGCCCATTTTCCATAGGCATGGTGTTTGTGAGCCTTCTTCGTCACCCTAGTGGAGGCAAAGACATTTTAATCATCTGAATTGTGTACGTATTTTGTATCTTTAATGGTATTCAGGTTGGGATCTCAGAAGAGACACTACTGCATACATATGCATTGGGTGAGTGTAGGTCCAAAGTCCGGCCTCTTAATCCTTCAGTCATCAAAACTTGCTGGCAACGTCTTTGGAACTGCTGGCTTATGCTCTCCAGATGAGCATGCGTGTGCTGCTGGGCTATCAGTTGATCAATTTAAAGTTAAAGCTGAAACAACTCCTGGCCAAGAATCAGCACTCGTTAGCTGCATGGTAGCTTCCTTTTCTGCCCTGCAGACCTACACAAGGAACCTAATGATCGGTTGTTGAATATAAGTTCTGATTAGATCAGTGCTTTTAATGATTTCCCCCTCTCTCTTTAACTGTGGAGGAGGAGGACTACCTCCATTCTAGGAATATTTCTATCCAAAGAACCATTATCTTAAAATATACTTTTCCTTGGACAGCTCTATGGATGTACTCATGTTTTTTAGTTTCTAGTAGTTCTTTGGAAATTTCTTATACTTTCCCACAGCTCATTTCTGTCTAATTTTAGCATATCTTTACTCTTTCCAGATTCTTCCTTTCCTAGACCGTATTTCGAGTGCATTCTTTTTGCCGTTTCATTGTGCCCCTTGATTGGTCTCTGGCTTTGTGTTACTTTCAACCAAAGACCCTCCTCTGTGGACTTTCCCTAATGTTTACCCTTCCTAATGTCCTCCCCAGAGTGTACCTTTAACTGCCCTCCACTTCTAAAATTGTCTCATGGACATTAATTTCATAAGAGTATTGCATTAAGTTGTCTTGCAATGCTCTTCTCAGGAGAGGATAGCTTTGACAAGCCACTTTTATGGAGAAAAAGTCTTTGACGATTAAGAATGACGTTTGCCAAGATCTCTTTTTAGGAGAGGCAGTTTTATCGAAATTGTTAAAGCCTGCCTTTAAGCCAGACCACCTGGCTTTGAGTCCCTGGCCTCTGACTTCTCAGATGAGTGACCTTGGACAATAAACTGACTTCTTTTCTGTCCCAGCTTCCTAAAATGGTGGTAATAATAATACATGCCTCAGGGTGCTGGGTGGCTCAGTCGGTTCAGTGTCAGACTTCAGCTTAGGTCATGATTTCACGGTTCGTGAATTTAAGCCCTGCATTGGGCTCTGCTGTCAGCACAGAGCCTGCTTTGGATCTTCTCTTTCTCTCTCTCTGCCCCTCCCCCGCTCTTCTGTCTTCTCTCAGAAATAAACAAACATAAAAATTTTTTTTTTTTTAATTTTTTTTTTCAACGTTTATTTATTTTTGGGACAGAGAGAGACAGAGCATGAACGGGGGAGGGGCAGAGAGAGAGGGAGACACAGAATCGGAAACAGGCTCCAGGCTCTGAGCCATCAGCCCAGAGCCCGACGCGGGGCTCGAACTCACGGACCGCGAGATCGTGACCTGGCTGAAGTCGGACACTTAACCGACTGCGCCACCCAGGCGCCCCAAGCGTTAAAAATGTTTAAAAAATAATACGTGCCTCATAAAGGTGTTTGTGAGGACTGAATATGCAGAGTGCTTAAAACAGTGTCGAGAACATAGTAGTTGTACTTTGTTCTTCTGTATAATGAAGATTTTGAGACACTGCCAGATCTCTGTCTTCAATATTAAACTCTACTTACTATTCTAGTTTCTATTAGAATATTCCTAATTCCCTATGGCCTTCACTCTCAATTTTAGATCTCAAAAAGTTTACTGTACTAGTTTATTTTTTCAGTAACCTTTTATTCAAGAAGTAATGCATGTTCACAGTAGCAATACAGAAAATGCAGGTGAAACAAATAAAAACATCACACCAGCCAGAGATCAGAGATCTCTGCACATCCTTTTTGGATGTTTTTTTATTCCTTATATGTCCATAGTGTATATTTGTGTCTGAATCAAAATGAGATGTTGTACTTTCTGTTTGGAACCTGTTTTTGTTTTTGCTTTTGTTTTGTAGTTAATGATCTTTACTGTTTTCATGTCAGTAAATACGTATTAAAGTACTTTAAAAATAATCTTTTACAGTACTGTCACTATGTCGCCGGGCTGGTGGGAATTGGCCTTTCCCGTCTGTTCTCAGCCTCAGAGTTAGAGGACCCCCTAGTTGGTGAAGATGTAGAACGTGCCAATTCTATGGGCCTGTTTCTGCAGAAAACAAACATCATTCGTGATTATCTGGAAGACCAACGAGAAGGAAGAGAGTTTTGGCCTCAAGAGGTAACAGAGTTAGGGGATTTGGGAAAAATAATGTCAAATACTTTTCTGAACACAAAACAAATCTTTTGGTTGCAAGTGATAGAAACATGAATCAAACTGCCTGAGACAACGGATGAGAGTGTATATAACAGGTTAAGATTTAGTTTGCTTCAGGGTGGACTGGCCAAATCCACAGCTTCAGTCATGTGTGTGTGTGTGTGTGTGTGTGTGTGTGTGTCTGTGGCTTTTCCCCCTTCTTTCTATCTCTTGGACAGGCTTTCTCCCAAGTAGTAGGTGTAACAACCCATGACTCACAACTTATTTAGCTTAACAGAAAAGTCCTTAGGAAGGCCTGCTTGGTGGGGCTTGGTTCCTGTGCCCATCCCATAATCAGCTGCTGTAGCCAGAGGGCTGAATACTTTGGCCAGACCTGGATTGTCTCTGCCCAACACACATAGATGGATTCCCCCCACCCACCCCAGGAAGAAAGATGCTAAATAGACAGAAACTACAGATGTTCATTATAAGAGACCAGAGTTGATCTTTGACTCAATTTTAAAAAAACAGGGAAAGGAAAGACTTGGACGTTGGTTTTATTCAGAAAGAAAGCTATAAAATATTTTTCCTTATTTTTTTTTTAATCTAAGTAATCTCTACACCCAATGTGGGGCTCAGACTCACGACCTCAAGATCAAGAGTCTTCTAACTGAGCCACCCAGGCACCCTGGAATGCTAGAAAATCTTATGACTATTTCCTACATTTGCCTATTGATTTCCATAAAATGGTTTCCTAAAACCAAGTGGTTTTAAAGTGGAAAAAAAGGTGACAAAGTAGGGAAAATATTTGCAACTTATGCTGCAAATAAAAACTGCCAAAAGTTAGGACCAGTTACCCTACAGGAAAATGGACAAAGAGATGAGAACAGATCAAGGAAAGAAAGATCATTAAACAGCTGAAAAGATGATCAATCTTACTCCTAATGAGAAAAATTCACATTAAAACTACCCTGGGCTGAGACGCCGTAGTTTGTCAAGCTTCCCAGGGGACTACTGTGCAGGCAGGGTTGGGAAGCAGCTCTTGTGCACCCTTCCTTTGACACCAATCCTCAAAGAAGGGGAGAGATTCGTGTGAGGACCTACAGTGAATGAGTCAGTGGCCGCTAGAAGGGACGCCCCAGTCTCCTGGATCCCTGCCAGGGCCTGTCCACCGTATGACGCTGCTTCTCACACAAGCGCATCACCCAAGTGTGGTTCATGAGTACCAGCTCTGCAGTCCTGCACACATTTCACTTCCCTCTTTCTGTAAAATTGAATAGTTTATACCACAGGGTGGTGGTGTGCATGAAGTGACATAAACTGCAGCCCAGGGTGCTTAATGAATGTCAGTTCAAATAGCCTAACCCAAAAAAGATATAAAAGAATCCTGAGATACTATTTCTTGCATTGGACTGGCAGACAGTCAAAAGTTTGATAGGCCTGAATGAAGCAAGACTGGGGAACCAGGCACTCTTGTGTGGCCGGTGAGCATATACTGGTACAGCCCTGAGGCCTGGCAGTTTGGCAAATGACTCCTATGGGAGCATATGGATTCAGTGTTGTTTGTAATAGTTACAATTTATTAACAACCCGGATGGCCCTCTACACAGGACTGGTTGAATGAACCTATGGTGTATTCACCTGGTGGAGCGCAAGAAGAACTATACTATTATGGAGTAATCTCCAGGCTATATTATTAAATGAAAAAAACAGGTGCACAATACCATAGTTTTGTGTTTTTGTTTTTTACTTTTTATTAAACTTTTAGTTAGTGAACATACAGTGCAGTATTGGTTTCAGTAGAATTTAGTGACTGATCACTTACATACAACACCCAGTGCTCATCACAAGTGCCCTCCTTAGTTCCCATCACCCATCTAGCCCATCTCCCACCCACCTCCTTCCACCAACATTCCAGTTTGTTCTCAATCATTAAATGTCTCTTGTGGTTTGTTTCCTTTTTTTCCTCCTTTTCCCATATGTTCATCTGTTTTGTCAAATTCCACATATGCGTGCAATCATATGGTATTTGTCTTTCTCTGACTTATCTCAACAGCAGAGTTTAAGTGGAAGGATAAACCAAAAGTAATAAAAGGTTTTCAGTAATCATATTGTGAATATTTTTGTTGAAATACTGAAACTATTACAGAAACTTGGTAACATAAAGTAAATAGGCAATTGTGTTCTTATCAGTCTAAGAACCAAGGTTTTTCAGCCTAAAATACAAGATACAAATAGGAAACAAGTTAAGCAAAACTCCCATAATCCTGAAGTGAATTGGAAATATCAGTATGAACTCATGATACAGATTCTTTAAAAACAAAAAAAGTTTACCTCTGTTTAGCAACAATGACCAAACCAGTAGTAATATGTACCTCTGGTGTTCCAATTTGCTCTTTTAATACCATTTCCCAGTATAAGGAACAGTAAGGGCAGAAAATACATAAAAGGAGCTTGAAATATACTGTCATGCCAGAAAGTAAGGGAACGATCAAAGTAAAAAGTACAGGATAAAGAGGCACACAATCCAATTTGAAGGGGCTTTCACTGGCCACATATGGAACACTTCGAGTACCAAAAAAGAATAAAAATGGCAGTGGATTAAAACACATCAAATGTGTTTAAATAAAAATGAGCATGCACCTCTTGATGAAAGATGTTGGTGTGCTCTTTTATCAAGAGGCATGTAATGTCTGATCTTTGCCCACTTTTGATGTTAGCAATCAGGCTTCATCCCTAGTTCTGTTAATTTATTAGGGTTGCAAAATAGTATTTTTATCACAGCTTTATTGAGACAGAGTTCACTTACTATATGCAGTTCATCCTTCTAAAGTTTTTAGTGTTTTTTTAGTATGTTCACAGAGTTGTGCAACAATCACCCCAATTAATTTTAGAACATTTTCATTACCCCAGAAAGAAACCACATGCCTTCGAGCAGTCACGATCTGTTTTCCGCTGATGCCCACTCCCCAGCCCTTGGCAACCAACCATCTTCTTTCTGTCTCTGTACATTGGCCTGTTTTGGACCTTTCGTATAAATGGAATCCTATAATATGTGACTGACTTCTTTACCTTAGCGTGATGCTTTTAAGGTTCATCCAGGAGGTAGTATGTTATCAACACATTATTCTTTCTTATAGTCAAACAATATTCACTTATATAGATATGCCACATTTCATTTGTTTATCAGTTGAGGAATATTTGGGTTGTTTCCACTTTTTGGCTTTTATTATTTTTTAATGTTTGTTTATTTTTGAGAGAGAGAGAAAGAGCAGGGGAGGGACAGAGAGAGGGAGACAGAGAATCTGAAGCGGGCTCTGTGCTGACAGCAGAGAGCCCGATGTGGGGCTTGAACTCACGAACCATGAGATCATGACCTGAGCTGAAGTCGGATGCTCAACCAACTCAGGTGCCCCCACTTTTTGGCTATTATTAATATGCTGTGAACATTTGTATACAAGGTTTTGAGTGGACATGTGTTTCCATTTCTCTTGCATATATATACACATAGCTTGGAGAGGAATTGCTGCTTCATACAGCTACTAACCTTTGAGGAACTGCCAGACTGTTTTCCACAGTGACTACACCCTTGTGCCAGTCCTATCAGCAGTAGATGAGGGTTCCAGTTTCTCCACAGCTTTGCCAACAGTTCTCACCTTTTTTTATGTATGTGTTTAACATCTTTTTTTTATTGCGGTAAAGTTTATGTAATATAAGATTTACCATTCAAACTATTTTTTAAGTGTATAGTTCTGTACCCTTTAAACAATAACTCCCTACTTCTCCATATTATCTATCTTTTTTTATTATACCCCTCCTCGTGGGTGTGAAGTGGTTTCTCATTGTGGTTTTGATATGCAATCTGATAGCTAATGATGTGGAGCATTTCATGTGGTTGGCCATCCGTATATTTTCTTTGGAGAAATATCTATTCAGGTACTTTTTCTGAAAACTACTGAAATACTTTCAGATATTTTAATGGTATTGTTTGTTTTTATTATTGAATTGTAAGGGTTCTTTCTATGCTCTGAATACAAGTCTCTTATCAGATACGTGATTTACAAATATCTTCTCCCAGTCTGTGGGTTATCTTCTTCCTTTCTTGATGTCTTTTGGAGCGTAAACGTTTTTAATTTTGATGAGGTCCAATTTCTCTAGTTTTCTCTTTTGTATTGTGCTTATGTAAGAAACCATGCCTAATCTAAGGTCATGAAGATTTATGCCTATATTTTCTTCTAAGAGTTTTATAGTTTTAGCTGTTAATTGAATGCTTTGATCCATTTTGAGTTAGTTTTTGTATGTGGTGTGAGGTAGGGGTCCAGCTTATCATTTTGCACAAATGTCCAGCTGTCCCAGTACTATTTGTTGAAAAGATTGTTCTTTCCCCCATTGAATTATTTTAGCATCCCTGTTGAAAATCAGTTGACCCTAAATATGAGGGTTCATTTTAGGACTTTGAATTTTATGCCATAAAATAAGAACTTTTTAATTCTATATTTGTGCCTTCCTTTATTAGCTGGGCTGATTTTATAGGTGATATGTTCTCTTCTTTATTATTTGCTTATTGAGTGGTACAAATCACGTATGGAAGGCAGTACATATAGTTGATTCTTTCCTTTACCTAGCTTTTTTTTTTTTTTTAATTTTTTTTTTCTTTTTTTTCTTTTTTTTAAATTTTTTTTTTTCAACGTTTTTTTTTATTTATTTATTTTTGGGACAGAGAGAGACAGAGCATGAACGGGGGAGGGGCAGACAGAGAGAGGGAGACACAGAATGGGAAGCAGGCTCCAGGCTCTGAGCCATCAGCCCAGAGCCTGACGCAGGGCTCGAACTCACGGACCGCGAGATCGTGACCTGGCTGAAGTCGGACGCTTAACCGACTGCGCCACCCAGGCGCCCCTTAATTTTTTTTTCAACATTTATTTTTTTGGGGACAGAGAGAGACAGAGCATGAACAGGGGAGGGGCAGAGAGGGAGGGAGACACAGAATCGGAAACAGGCTCCAGGCTCTGAGCCATCAGCCCAGAGCCTGATGCGGGGCTCAAACTCACGGACCGCGAGATCGTGACCTGGCTGAAGTCGGACGCTTAACCGACTCTGCCACCCAGGCGCCCTGTTTACCTAGCTTTTAAGATAATTTTCTGTCACCCTCAGAAGGTGACCAATTAGTTATCTTTTGCTATCATTATAAACTTACAGATTAAAACATATTTGGGTTTAATCGGTTGTAATTATTCTCATTATTAAAGCTTAAAATTTCCCTTTGGTCGGGAATAGATTCAGGTTGGCTCTTGAGTCCTCATGACCCTTAATAGTCTATGATAGCTTCCTTGCCATTTGATACGTGAAGATGTTCTAAACTCATTTTGTACATTTACTAAGGTCTGGACTGCTCCAGCTATTCAAGAAGCTCAGGGAAGACACCTGGGCTAATGGAAAATAATAGCCAACACCACACTTGGGCAGGATAGTCATTGCTCTTGGGGTAGTCTCTGTGTGTGTGTGTGTGTGTGTGTGTGTGTGTGTGTGTGTCTAGTTTTAAAGCTAAAATACCTTGTAATTTATATTGATACATTTACAAATACCTTGTAAATTTGTATTGATATTTCCAATTCAAACGCAGGACAATAGAATGGTTATATAATCGCTTCCTCTATATTATATCTCTACCTCATTTTTTCCTCATTGAGATTCATATTTCTCAGGGAAATAAGAGATGCCCGAATTAGTATATGCCATAACTACTCATCTGCTTTTTTTCCACAGTACAGATCTTGAGTCTCTGAATAGTGATACTGATGCTACTACCACCAAATATGCTTACGGACAATAACTCAAAAAAAATTTTTTACATATGATATCCTAATTGCCAATTTTTTATGATTATATTTATATCTGAATCGTCAGATCAGATAGCCATTACCACCGTAATATCTCCCTTTTCTCCTTTATTTTGTCTTGGTTTATGCTCACTACCAGCCTTTATGTTGATGTCTCTAACCATTTTGGTTGTCTCAAGCTCGTACTCTGGTAGGTAGGAAAGAGCCATGAGAATAATAATTCTCCATGTTTATACATATTGAAGATAATTTGTGTCCTTGATATTTGAAAGTCAGTTTTTTCTAGGTATGAAGTTTTTAGCTCATAGTTTTGAGTACCTTAAATGTGTTACTCCCATTTTCTTCTGCTTTTACAGACTGGCTGTTGAAAATATAATGATCGTTTTCTTTTCCTTGTCAGTTGCGGGTTCTTTTTTTGTCTTGGTGGTCGCTCCCTAGACTTATTATCAGTGAAGAGGCCAAAAGGTGCTATCCTAATTCTGTCATCCTTTCTGCATGTATTAGCAGGAAGTTTGGATTTTATAAAAATGGTAGTGATGGTGGCAGCAGCATGGTTTGGGGATTTTTCCCAAATTCTCAAAAAGAGATGAAACAACTCGACAAAAAAATCCAAACAAACACCCAAAACCCAGCCCGTGGATAACCTGTACAAAGCACCCCCAGGAGCTCCAAGACAAAAGTGGGCACAGGCGAGATGCCAACGCCACAGACAGAACCTGCATGATGGAACAAGACGGGCCAAGTGTCAATAATTGTTGAGGCTGGTGGATGTATACATAGGGGTTTATTAACTATTTTCTCCAAGTTCTGCAGATCTTGTACCATCATTGATCTAGTACCATCAATCTGAGTGTGTTTAAGGTGCAAATTAAGAATGGATAACAAATTTGACTTTCCATAGAATCTCCTAGTCCTATTAGGCCAGTCATGTATTTGGGGAAGTGCATAAGGTTACAATGAGTGTCATTCTTTGGGCGGCTTAAGAGTTTTCAAAAATGGGGTGCCTGGGTGGCTCAGTTGGTTATGTGTCTGACTCTTGATTTCAGCTAAAGTCACTCTCTCACGGTTTGTAAGTTTAAGCCCCACGTCGGGCTCTGTGCTGACAATATGGAGCCTGCTTGGAATTCTCTCTCTGTCTCTCTCTCTCTCTGTCTCTCTCTCTCTCTGTCTCTCTCTCTCTGTCTCTCTCTCTCTGCCCCTCCCTGCTCTCACTTTCTCTCTCAAAATAAATAAATAAACTTAAAATTAAAAAAAAAATACTTAAAAAAAATGGTTACCAAAGATGAAAGTAAGTTTTATGCTAGCTTCAGAAACTACTTTATTTTTTTTCTGATGTTTAATGTGTGTGTGTGTGTGTGTGTGTGTGTGTGTGTGTGTGTGTTTGGAGAATACGAGCAGGGGAGAGGGATTGAAGGAGAGAAAGAGAGACTCTTAAGCAGGTTCCACACTCGGCACAGAGCCCGATTCGGGACTCAATCCCACGATCCTGGGATCATGACCTGAGCCGAAATCAAGAGTCAGACACTGAACCGACTGAGCCACCTGTGTGCCCCTAGAGATTCCATTAAATATTAACATTAAAAATTGTCAAATCAGTCCCACCATTGGAGTTGAAGATGTCATTTCACTTTTGAGTTACTAAGATCCAAGGAGGTAATGTTCTCATAGTACAGACTTAGCTCATTTTCCCCAAATACGATTGTTTGGCAGCATTCTGTCTCGGAATTGGGTACGTAATGTTAATCACTAATTACTTGGAGACCTGACCATCTTCAGAATTTTACTGTTTAGCCTGCAGTATTGTTGTAGCTAGTTTTGAATAGATCTGGTTATTTTTTTCAGGAGTAGACTAATGCCTTCTGAATAACACAAGTTTTCTTTATCTGAAGTCATTAAAGTATTGCTGTATTACATGTTGTACTAATCTTCCCGAAAGGACAATTTCCCAGAAACTTAACTGACTCCCAGGTTGTGATCAGACCCTGACTGGCTGTCACAAATAGCCCCTGTGTGGAGCTTAAAACAGACTTGATCTTGGTGAAAGAGGAGTCCGCAGCTAAGAAAAACTTTACTGTCTATCATAGTTCTTATTCACGAAGATTCTTTCATGTTGCTTGGAAACCTTCTTCCCTTATGCACATGCCGACTTCTTTTTTAAGGTTTGGAGCAAGTATGTTAAGAAGTTGGGTGATTTTGCTAAGCCACAGAATATTGACTCGGCTGTGCAGTGCCTGAACGAACTTATAACCAACGCACTACACCACATCCCAGATGTCATCACTTACCTTTCAAGACTTAGAAACCAAAGTGTGTTTAACTTCTGTGCTATTCCACAGGTATGCAGTGCTGCTGTTCTTGTTGTAGAGGAGAGGTGGAAGCTACAGGCAGTGGTGTGGTGGTGGTGATGGGGGTGGATAGAATGCATTTACTATTTTGGTTTGCTGTATTCGGAATATGGTTCCTTAAAAAGAGGACTCTGGCCTGTTTTCTTTTGCTGGCGAAGAGGCAGACAGTGTCTCACCATACCTCCCCTTTGCTCTATGACCACCACCCTCAGCGCAGCCTCGCTAGATCCTTATTCTCACAGTTAAATCTAGGGCTTTGGCTTAGATTTATGGGGAGTGCTGGGTAAAATGTAGGTGAAGGTGTTGTCATTACAAAGTCTTAAGCGCCTAGTTTTTGCTGTGCTTTTCCTAGACTCATGAGAACAGAACCTGACCCTATGGACCTAGCCCCTCAATATCCTAGGAGCTTACACTTTTTAAATGCCTTACCAATTACTTTAACTCCAGTAAATGAAAGTTCTAGGATTTAACTGATTTGGACACTCGATTTAATCTTTTAATGGCCAATCTTGAATGGTTGTTGGAGCTAAAATCTGTAGGCCTGACATGGGTTTCCGTTTATCCTAGAAATAATACACCTTTGAGCTTGGGAACTATCCGTCCTTTCCATTTGTGCCCTACCCCCTCCTCCATGCTGGTTTTTTTCATGTATGATGGTTTGTTTGTTGTAGGAAAAATAAAATTTTTTGCAGATATTATTTTGAGATACATTTTTCAGCTCTATGACTCATTATTCTAGCATAGAAAATGTTGTATTGGCTCGTGTTTGTTTTTTCCAAATAAAAAGTTTTCATGGTCAAACCAAAGAATCATTTAAAACTGCAAAGATCACTTGAGGCTGTTGTTGAGGAAGGGAGGAGTGGGAAAGGTACAAGTTTTGATGTGCTTTCTTCATGGGTACTTTTTCTTGGTTAGTTACATCTTAGCTCTTTGGCCCTTTCTTATTCTATAGAAGATTTTTTTTTATGTTTTCACAATGGTGATTACTTATAGTACCATTTCTTTTCTTTCATGAAATGAAATGAATTAGCATTTTCTTTTGTCTCCCCCACCTTATATCTGTAGGTAATGGCCATTGCAACTTTGGCTGCCTGTTATAATAACCAGCAGGTGTTCAAAGGCGTAGTGAAGATCCGAAAAGGACAAGCAGTAACTCTAATGATGGATGCCACCAATATGCCAGCTGTCAAAGCTATAATATACCAGTATATGGAAGAGGTGGGTTTCTATTTAACTACGTGGATAATTTCTAGCCATTTTTTATAGTATTTAAATAATGTCATTGTTTAAATAGTTTATATTTGAATATTAGATGATCCTAACAACTTACTGTGTCATGGTATAAAGAGACAGGACAGGAGTTGGTCTCCTTTATTTGGAAAGTTCGTGTATGCATGAGTTACTGATTGTTCAGAGTTGCATAGCACCCTGGTGAGAGAGTATAAAGGCAGCAAGCCTTTAGGGTGGAGCTCCTGAGCAGAATCATAGGTTTTGAGCTGGAAGCTGATGTTAGAGGCCAGTCAGGCTTTTTGTTTTATGGGTGAGAAAAGTGAGGCTAAGTCTTGTGGATGCAAATGCAGTATCTGACTGAGTAGATCTGGGACCCCAGTCCATCCACATTGCCTCACACCCAATCCAGTACTTTCTATGACTTCATAGGCCTCAACTGAGAAACCACAGTAGGGAATTTTGGCAAAGGAAAACCATCAAGTTGCAATGATACCTAAATTTTTTTTTCTTTTTTTATAATTCTTTTAATGTTTTTATTTATTATTATTGAGAGGGAGAGAGAGAGAGAGAGTGTGCATGCAAGTGGGGGAGGGGCAGAGAGAGAGGGAGACACAGAATCCGAAGCAGGCTCCAGGCTCTGAGCTGTCAGCACAGAGCTCGACGTGGGGCTCAAACCCACAAACTGCGAGATCATGACCTGAGCTAAACTCGGATGCTTAACCAACTGAGCCACCCAGGCGCCCCGATTTCTAAATTTTCTAATGCAAATCTCATTTCAAGTACCAAAACCATCCTATAAAACAGAACATACTTGTTCAAGTCAAATATCCTTCTGTGGAGGGTATAATATATGACTAGGTTCAAAAAAGCCTTTTCTTAGAGGCTAAAACTCTAATCACTAGGTCCTAGATCAGTGGTTCCTTTTTTTTTTTTTTTTTTTTTTAAATAATGTTTGTTTATTTTTGAGAGAGAGTGTGAGCAGGGGGTGGGCAGAGAGAAAGGGAGACACAGAATCAGAAGCGGGCTCCAGGCTCTGAGCTGTCAGTACAGAGCCTGATGTGGGGCCTGAACCCACAAACCACAAGATCGTGACCCAAGCTGAAGTTGGATGCTTAACTGAGCCACCCAGGCGCCCTAGCAGTGGTTCTTAATTGGAGATACTTTAGTACCCCCTTCCCTGCAGGGAACATTTGGCAATGTCTAGAGACTTTTTTTTTTTTTTTTTGACTGTCACACTAGGGAGGTGGGTGGCTCTGAGATCCTTAGGTATGTTCTTACTGAAGATTGAAATACTACAGAAATACATGAAAACATAATAAGATCTTCCTCCCCGCCCCCCTCCCAGAGGTAACTATTGCTGTCAATAGTTTTCTGCCTCCTTCCAGTCTTATGGCTATGCCTTTACAGGGATGCAATTGGTAATAGTGGTTTCCTCTAAATAGAATTCTGCAAAAACAGTTATTTCCTCTGATTTCTATGGCATATTGCACATTCTCCTTGGAGTTCCGCCCTGTCTTCTGACAAGCTTTGGACTTCAGCATTTCTACCAGAGGTACCTGTAGAAGGCGTAAGAGAAAACTAAAGAAAAATTTTTTTAATCCTAAAATTCTTTTAGTGACTTAAGTGTTCAGCCATTGACCAAAAAATTGCTGCTAATGAGATTTGGGACAGTCTGGTTCACCATATAGCCAGCACTTACTCTGAGCTTACTGTGTGCCTGGCATAGCAACCAAAAAGGTGGGTACTATTAATATCAAGGAAACTTGAGGCTGGTGCCATAATTTGGACCCAGATCTGGCTGACTTCAGACCGTATGCTGTTCACTACAATTCTAAGGGGGTTGGATTATCCTTTCTAAACTGAGTAGTACTTTATTAGGCACTTTTTCTCTGTTTTGTATCAGTTAGAATCCTTTTATGTAGTGTGTAGTTCAGAGAATAGTTTTAATACTGACCACCGATTTCAAAAAACCATTTTTTTTTTTTTCAACGTTTATTTATTTTTGGGACAGAGAGAGACAGAGCATGAACGGGGGAGGGGCAGAGAGAGAGGGAGACACAGAATCGGAAACAGGCTCCAGGTTCTGAGCCATCAGCCCAGAGCCCGATGCGGGGCTCGAACTCACGGACCGCGAGATCGTGACCTGGCTGAAGTCGGACGCTTAACCGACTGCGCCACCCAGGCGCCCCAAAAAACCATTTTTAAAAAATGTTGTTTGCTAGTTCCGTTACTATATTAAAATTCAGATTTTATCTGGTGTATTCCTTACCCATTGGAATTAAATCCTAGTTGTGATCAACAGTTTGATTTGGGGCATGGGTACCCACACTACAGCTGACTGACCTCCCCACCCCCACTGCTTTTGTAAATAACTTTTTATTAAAACAAAGCCACGCCCATTCGCATATGTCTTGTCTGAGGCAGCCTCAAATACAGTAGCAGAGGTGAGAAGCTGCAACAGAGGGTGACCCACCAAGCTGAAAATAATTTCTGGCCCTTTAAGGAACACTGATTGAGGTCATCAGTTTTTAAAGCTACTCTGGTGAAACCCAGCGTGATTTGGAGGAAACATTAATACTTGATTTGATTCAGAAAAATCTCAAGTCTTTCAAGTCCAAAGGAATAAAATGTGATAATGGTTTTAATGTCCTCATGAATGAAATTTCAAGTTAAAACTTTTTGAAGACCGCAAGTTGTCTATTTGCTGGTGTCCAGATATTAACCCTGATCCTACTTCTCACTGACCAAGTCTGTCCTTTGCAGGAAGACTGCAAGTCTTCTGTCAGTTTGGGGAGCCTGGGTGGCTCAGTTGGTTAAGCGTCCGACTTTGGCTCAGGACGTGATCTCATGGTTAGATTGAGTTCGAGCCCCGCATCGGGCTCTGTGCTGACATCTCGGAGCCTGGAGCCTGCTTCGGATTCTGTGTCTCCCTCTCTCTCTGCCCCTCCCCTGCTCGCACTCTCTCTCTCTCTCAAAAATAAACAAACATTATTAAAAAAAAAAAAAAAAAGCTTCTCAGATTAAAAACAAAAAGTTCTGTCAGTTCCCTGGGCTTAACTGGTGGTAACAAGAATGCACTCGCAGGGGCGTGTAAAGGTCTCCTCATGGGACTCTAATGTTTAAAAGAGGAGTTAGAGGGACACCGAACCTTCCCGAGGAGGTGGGCACTGCTCTTCCACACCCTCTGTCCTCTGGAGCGGCCTCAGCTGCAAACCAGTCTGGATACCTGTCAGCTGGCGAGAAGCTCAACCAGCTATTTTGGGACAGAAACAAATACTCAGGCAAACAGCCAGAAGCTGTTGTTTCCTTCTGTGCCAATGCTCACTCCTCGGCGAGGGCAACCTCTCTTAAGCGGGCACACCTTCCCATTTCACGCTACGCTGTGCTTCCTCTAGAGCATCGTCCTGCTCTCCAGGCCCTTTTTGTGCTCACAACTCATAAGTGTTGTGCAGCATCGGCGGCCCTTGGGCACTTGCTAGAGCCTCACCCCTACTCAAACCTGTTGACTCAGAATCTGCCTTTACCAAGATCCCCAGGTGATTCCTGTGAACATAAAGTTTGAAAAGCACTGCTGGGGGCGCCTGGTGACTCGGTTGAGTTGTCTGACTCTTGATTTCGGTTCAGGTCATGATCCCTGAGTCCTGCCGGCCTCACTGGTCCAGGATCCTGCTTAAGATTCTCTGTCTCCCCCTCTGCCCCTTCCCCTCTTGTGTGCTCGCTCACTCTCTCTCTATCTCAAAACAAGAAAAGTATTGCTGTACATCCATCCTTTCCTTCTCCGCTGGCTCTGCCTTTAACCACAGGAGGAAGTACGAGATTATATGTTGTGAACTGTCTCCACTTCTCTGTCCGTCTCTCCTGTGTGAGCCTAACCCCTGCAGGTATGCACTCCTGCTCCCGCCTCTCGCCCCCTCAAGATCCGCCTCCTTTTTACCTAAGCCCCCTCCTTTTTGGGTCCCTCCTGTAGTTTGTATTTGCACTCTGGCCACTCGGCTTCAAAAAGTAAACAGATCAATACTTGGCTTGACTTTGCTCCTCTCTACCTCATCCCCATCCTCCTCTCCCTCACAGTTAAGCTTCTCGAAGGATTCATGTACTTCATGTTATTGATTCCCATTTTTTTCTCAACCCACTTCATCCTAGCTTTTGTTCATTCCTTGTCAGAACTTTTCTTACTGAGGTGATTTAATGACCTTCTAATGACCAGTTTTTGTTTGTTTAAAGTTTATTTATTTATCTTGAGAGAGAGAGTGGGGGCAGAAAGAGAGGAAGAGAGAGAACCGCAAGCAGGCTCTGCATTATCAGCTCGGAGCCCAACACGGGGCTCAGTCTCCCCAACTGTGAGATCATGACCTGAGCCAAGATCAAGAGTTGGGCGCTGAGCCAACTGAGCCACCAAGACTGAGCCACCAAGGCAGTGCTCTAATGACAAATTTTTAAAAAATTCGACACTGGATCTTTCTCACCTTGAAAGCCCTTCCCTGTCTTGGCTTCTGTGACGCTTACCTCAGGCTTAACCTCTTATCCATCTGTCTCCTCCTTTGCCTTTCTGGCTCCTTATCTCCCAGAGTTGTTTTGATTTTCGTTTCTTCTGGCTGCACAAAATCTTTCTGGCATTCTCTTCTATGGCCAGGCTGTTTCCTCCACCCCATGCTTTTCACTCCAGACTTGATTATTCCAGTTCAGTCCTTGGTCATAAGCCTTTTTTTTTTATTTTTTTTTTTTTGACGTTTATTCATTTTTGAGAGAGAGAGAGAGAGAGAGAGAGAGCAAGCAAGCAGGGGAGGGTCAAAAAGAGAAGGAGACACAGAATCTGAAGTAGGCTTCAGGCTCTGAGCTGTCAGTACAGAGCCCCATGTGGGGCTTGAACCCACAAACCACGAGATCATGACCTGAGCCTAAGTTGGATGCTCAACTAACTGAACGACCCAAATGCTTCTAAGCCTTTTTTCTTTATTCTTTTGGTTAATGACATTAGCTGTTCATACTTGTCAGAATTTTGTGTGCATTAGCCTTTGACCAAGCAATTCTAGGACTTTACCTACACAATTAACTAGAAAATGTACAGAGACGCTGATTGTAGCATTTTGTCCTCGGTCCTTATTGGGAGGGGGTTGATTATAAATTATAGTGTGTTCACATTACGTAGGTTGTGTTTAAAAGGAATGACCTCTTTTTCTAGGTTCTGGCATTAAGAAATGTCCATAGAAGCTCCTGGCTCAGTTAAGCGTCTGACTCTTGATCTCAGCTCAAGGGTCATGAGTTCAAGCCCCGCATTGGGCTCCACAGTGGTCAAGGAGCTTACCTAAAAAAAGAAAAAAAAAAAAGAAAGAAATATCTATAAAAAATTATGTGAGTGAGACACATAGGTGGCTCAGTCGGTTAAGCATACAAATTCAGCTCAGGTCATGATCTTGCAGTTCATGAATTCGAGCCCCTCGTCAGGCTCTGTGCTGACAGCTCAGAGCCTGGAGCCTGCTTCGGATTCTGTGTCTCCCTTTCTTTCTGCCCCACCCCCACTGTGTCTCTGTCTCTCTCAAAAATAAATAAACATGAAAGAAAATTTTCAAAAAAGATTAAAGAAATTATGTGAGTGAAAAAAGTCAAATTACAGCATAATATGTTTATAACCTATCTTAAAAATAAAGTGTATAATTTCATATACACAATATAGTCATATTTATACATTATATAGAATAGCCATTCTGTATAGTGTGTAGACTATATAATACATATATATAACCTTTTATATGTTTTTATATTGGCTTATATGCACATGGCAAGAGGTATAAAAGTAACTACACCAGTATATGATAATACTGTATTATTGTGTATGACATTTCATACATTTTTATCTGAGGTTATAAGGGCATAGTGAGGAAAAGTATAAAAGTAACTATACTGGCCTGTGGCTGAGGGGCAAGTAAGGGAATTTTGGCTCCTTTTTTAACTTTATTTTTGTATTGCTTGTTTTTATAAGCTTAACTCCATTATCTAAATTTTTTTGAAAAGAAAGAGGAAATTGTAGTTTCAATGAAACCTTTTTCTTCTTCTTTCTAGAGCTATTCTTGGTATCATAATATTAGGTATCAGATATCATTAGCATATTTCTGTAGGCATTTTTTTCCCAGTGAGCTCTCTGCCCATTGTGGGGCTTGAACTCATGATCCAGAGGTCAAGAGTCACATGCTCTACTGACTGAGCCAGCCAGGCACACCTGTGGGCACATTCATTTATTTTCTTGTCATACTAAATCGCAACTGTGCCCTTTCAGTGGTGAGGTGGGAGGGTGGCAAGAATATAATCTGTCTCTGGAAAAAATACCCATTATATCGTTCAGTTGGTTAAGCGTCTTACTTCAGCTCAGGTCATGATCTCACAGTTTGTGGGTTCGAGCCCCACATTGGGCTCTGGGCTGACATCCCGGAGCCTGAAGCCTGCTTCACATTCTGTGTCTCCCTCGCTCTCTACCCCTCTCCTGCTTGTGCGCACGCTCTCTCTCTCTCTCTCTCTCTCTCTCTCTCTCTCATAAATATTTAAAAAATATTTTTTTTAATACCCATTATATAATGAAAGTCTGGGGAAAAAAATTATTTTAAAAATATGCCCGCTTTGTAATCTTCCTCCTTTTTGTCTCTGGGCTCACATCATTGTCCCTTTCCCCCTCAGTCATCTCTTAACTGCTTTGTCAGCTTAGTGAGGGCCTCCTGTGTGCCAGGCTCGGTGCTGGGCTGGAGGCAGAAAGGTAAGACGTGGTGCCTTAGAGGCTCGCAGTCTAGTGAGGGAGACGCATAGACATAGATGAATTCAGTGCTAAGTGATAAGGTAGGAGTCTGTGTAGGAGAGTGGCATGTGGCCCAACCTGAGAGTTCAAGGCAGGTTTTCTAAAAGACTAATACCTAAGACTTGGGCAACAGGTCAAGTTAGCCAGGTGAGTTAGCCAGGAGAAGGAGTGTGACCGGCATTCCGGGCAGAGGGAACGGTGTGAGCAAAGGGGAACAGATGCATGCAGAGCATCAGAAGTAGAAGACGACAGCGGGTAGTTGTTCTAGAGTGAGAAGAGACAGGTGGGGAGCGGCAGGCGAGGCCGGAGAGGCCCAGTGGGCCCAGGTCATGGGTGGCCTCGTGTTCCACATCACGGAACTCAGAGCTTATTCAGCTGGTGATAGGTAGCCACTGAGGGTATCAAGCAGAGGTTTTTAGTTTCTTTGGTGACAGCGTGGAGAGCAGGCGAGTGGACTTCAGGGTTCAGGCAGAAGGAGAGTCAGGAGCTCAGGTTGGAGGTTGGTGACAGCTCACATGAGAGGCATTGAGGGTCTAGCCGGCAGCAGTGGCTGTAGCATGGAGGCGAGGCCTGGATGCAGCAAAGGTGTCAGGTCTGTGGAGGTGGAGGAGGGTGAAGGCACCGGGAAGACTCGAGGATAACTCTCTGGTGCCCTGCTTCTGCTCTCGCTTTTCTTCATCTAGCCTGTTGCCCACACCACAGATTCCATCTTGTTTGGCTGTGTTCGCCCAGTCTTCGCGATATCATTTCCCCTTTTCTGTGTTGCTCTCCTCCAGCCCAAACTATGCTGACGTTACCAAGCTCCACTCTGTTCCTGGCTCTGAGGCATTGGGGATGCGAAGACCAGGGAGGACCTGGGTGGCTCCCCAAGTACAGGCCTCCTTGCTTGCTCCCTAGGACAGGCTGTGGGATTACCGGGCCTCGGTTGACATCCTGCCTTATTAGTGGAGTGACTTGGAGTTTCCTTTCATGTTCTCTGAATCTGTTTTGTAAGAGAAATGTGGATATAAAATACCTACCTGTTTAGGGTTATTGTAAGAAGTAGACACAGAAGATAAAGTTCCTAGGACTCCATAAGTGGCACTTAACTATTTTTTTTTCCTTTCTTTAACAGATTTATCATAGAATTCCCAGCTCAGACCCATCTTCTAGTAAAACAAGACAGATCATCTCCACCATCAGGACACAGAATCTTCCCAATTGTCAGCTGATCTCCCGAAGTCACTACTCCCCTATTTACCTGTCATTTGTCATGCTCTTGGCTGCCCTGAGCTGGCAGTATCTGAGCACCCTGTCCCAGGTCACAGAAGACTATGTTCAGACTGGAGAGCACTGATTGGGTAAGAGTGGGAGCTAACGCTCGCCGTGGAATAGACTGACCTTTCCTTCAAGGAAGGATGTTGGTTTCCCCCTCCCCCTCCATTTCCCTCCTGCTCTAATTCCTAAGAGAACTCTGTGGACTTGGACCTTTAGAAACTGTGACATGCAGTTGAGAGGATGACGATAAAAGGGAAGGATAGCTCACCCTCAGCTGGCAGGTACTTGTGGGCATGCTCACATCTGCGCAAGGTGGCCAACAGTCGGGTGCTCCTCGCTGCAGGGCAGAGGAAATGGTTGCGTATGGGGTTGCTGAGAGATCTTATTTCGTGTGAGTCCTGGCTAGAATTCTAATGAAATGTATTTAATTTGAAGCAACCTCGGAATACATGTCCTAGCAGGAAGTGAATTTTTCTCGGTTTGGTTCTGATTTTTCTCATTCTGTTTTCTCTTCAGTTGATTTCAGTGTGGCAGATGTCAGTGTTTGTAGCTCTAGGTGGTGGTCCCACGTTTCCTAAGAAGGCAACTGTCTTCTGCACGTGAAGGCTAAGGATTCACTTCTGGGTGTTCTGGAATGGTTTCCTCATTTAAAAGGAGATTAGCTTTCCCAGAGAAACTGCAGGATTGCCTTTGGCCCCATTGTAGAAGACTGGCCTCCAGTCAAGGCTGACTTTTTGAGAAGACACTATACGTAAAGATACGTTTGTAAAAAAGAATGCAATTACTCTGCATTTGTCAAGGGCAGTTCACTTGAAAGCCTGGAGGCACATGGCAAATAACTCAAGAGCGGAGTTAGTGATCGAGGGCCAGGGGGCCTGGCCCGCCGCTGCCCGCAGAGCGGACCAGAGCGGTACCAAGAGCGAGGATCCAGCTGCCTGGCCCCAGCTCCACTGCGCCCGCCGGAGATGAGCAAGTGACAGCATTGCCTCACTGCCCAGCCCGTAACCTGCATTAACTCTGCCAGCCTACTCTAAAGTGGGCCGATTCTCTTAGCCGCAGCAGATTTTATTACATCCAGGGGGCTTGTGGTCGTGGTGGTTGTTGTTATTGTTTTGTCCTTTGTTTCTGTTTTTAAAAAAAATCACGTTTATACACTGAAGTTTCAACAAAGACAAAAATGTTTTCAGGTGATGGGCTGGGAAGCCGAATGTACTTAGCCTAATTCTTCTAGCATCGCTCTTTGCCTTCTTCTTTACTCCCACGCAGCCGGGGTTGGTGATGTGTTCTCACCCAGTGACTCACCGAGAATCTCAGCCTGGACCAGGGAGGACCCCTCTCTAGGGGTGTTTGAAAAAGCCCCTCAAGCTGAGCAATCACTGTTGTAGGGCATTAAAGTGCTTTCTAGAAGCCATTAATGCTCTCCATGTACATAGTATATAGTCTACTCTTTTGCTGCTGTCCTTTGTGGATGGTGACTTAATCACCGAAGTTGAGGGTTTTCCCCAGCAATAATATTGGCCTTGCATTGTTATACGCACACCCACACTGATTTTCGTCCTGTGACTGCCGCCGCCTGACACAATGGCTTAGTTTTGGTCTGTGGGAGCTGCAGTTGGTTGATTGGTTTGGGGCTCAGTTCTGGACAAACCTGTCACCACACTGAAGCCAAAGTCCTTTGCCACCTGGAGTACAGCTGTGAGCCGCACTCAGCAGTAATTTCCCAAGTAATTTAAACATCGGAATTTGGTTAAAGATTCCAAGGTAGGTTGTTATAAATTTGTGCGTTGAAGTATCAGATTAGTTCTGTCCTGTGTAGAACACAGGACAACTTGGTGGAGAGCCTTGGTCGGAGGTGGATGTACCGGAAGTTTTCCTCCTGGCTCACTTGTGACCTGTGCGACTTTCTAAGCTTCTGTAAGGTTTATTAGATGACCTTCTAGGTCCCTCCCAACTGTAAAGCTGTGGAATTTTTCCTATTGCTGACTTGTGCCAAGGTCTTAGCTCTACTGTCCACTCCTGAGTGCTTTGGAAGACCATTGCCCTTCTGTTTCTCTACTTAAATTGCCACGTAAAATACAGGATACGCAGTTAAACTTGAATTGCAGACATAATAGTGTTTTTTAGTAGAATTATGTCCCCCAAATTGTATGGGACATACTTTTTTCTTTTAATGTTTATTTTGAGAGAGCATGTGAGCGAGAGGGGGAAGGGCAGAGAGAGGAGAGAGAGAATCCCAAGAGGGTCCTGCACTCAGTGCGCAGAGCCAGACACAGGGCTCCATCTCACAAACCTTGAGATCATGAGAGCCGAAATCAAGAGTCAGACGCTTAACCGACTGAGCCATGCAGGTGCCCTGCACAGGATATATTTCTACTAAAAAATTACTTGATCTGAAATTCAAATCTAATTAAGCATCCTTTATTTTTGTTAAATCTGGCCACCTCACTCTGCTCCACGCTAATTATTCATCAAATATTTAGCATCTCTGGCCTAGAGTCTACTTGATTTCTACTTACAGTGAAGTATTTTTTAGCTTTTCCTCAGAGGAGGATCTGACCCATCTGAATCTAAAATTCCATTATAACAGACCTGAGCAGGAACCTGCTCTCCACACTCTGGGAGCTTCTAGAGCTCCAGGTAAGGCCTGTGCAGACACACAGAGCCACCTATCTCCCTTTGGGAAAGTGCTTGGAGCAATTACCCAGAAGCCCATTCTATCAGAACCATTTCTCTGGGTCCGGCATGCACATGTGCATAGGGGAGGAGACATGGCTAGCCATTTGTTAATTATTCTTAGCAGCAGAGCTCTAAGGCTGTGGTTCTCAGCCTTTAGCATCAGAGTTGCCTGAAGGTCCCAGATTGCTAGGACCATTTGTCTCTCAGGTCTGGGGCGGTACCCCAAAACTTGCATGTTAAGCTCTCAGGTGATACAAATACTGCTGCTGGATAGGAGCCCAGTTTGAGAACCACTGCTCTAAGGCCTTATTCTTCAAACTTGAGTGAACATATTGAATTACCAGGAGTCTTGTTAAATTACAAATGCAGACTGAGGTCTGGCCCAAATTCTGCATTTCTGACAAGCTAGGTGATGGCCATGCTTTTCAAGTGTAGCTATCTGATGTATGTGAAGAGTGGGACAGGTTCAACTGTGTGCTCAGATGCGAAGTCTAAACTAAAATCACGCCCTTCTCCAGGGAATAAACGAAAAGGCACAGACGGTCACTTCCATCTATCAGGACAGGCACCCCAGGAAAACATGGCACCAATTGAACTGAGGTGACAGGGTGGTGGTCAGTGAGGTAATTTGAGGTTTATGAAAGAATTGACATCGATTCCAATCCTAAATAGACATTGTTTTATTTTCTAACAAAGACTCAAGCTGACCCTGAGGATGCCATGAAGTTCATTTGGGTACTTCGTTTTAGGGCAGCTCTTTCGCCTTCCAGGGGGGAGGATGGGCTGCAGCTGGGCACGTGGCAGACAGGATGGAAACGGGATCATTCAACTCCATTTGGAGAGCAGGTCGAATTTGTTAGAACTACATTGAGGTTATGAATGTCTTCTGATTGCAATTTTAAGAATAAAGCGATTGCAAAATTTGTGGCTTTGGTAGCCTTTGTTAAACACTTCTGAAATACGTCGGGTTTCATAAATTTTCCCTTCAGTATTCACCGGGTGTAAGAGCTTATTTGATGATGCAGTTTCGGATTCCTTGTTTTTAATGTTCATTTATTTTGAGAGAGTGCGCAAGCTGGGGAGGGGCAGAGAGAGCATGCCATCCAGGCTCTGCGCCATCAGTGCAGAGCCCAATGAGGGTCTCGATCCCGAGAGACACAAGATCATGACCTGAGCCAAAATCAAGAGTCAGAGGCTTAGCTGACTGAGGTACCCAGGTGCCCCTCTGATTCCTAACTTGCAATTCACATCAAAAGCCACACTTTCCATGCTTCTGGAGTGAGTCTACCTCTCAGGGAAAGGTGGTCACGTGTTGATAGGCCAGTGGGATGGCTGCAGTTTCCCCCGTTCCCAAGAACTGGTACACATCTTTGCTTAGGATTCTTAACTAGGCCCATGCAAAGCCACGGTTCTTAACCAGCAGTGTAAATCAGAGACCCAGGGAACTGAGAATATGACACACAGGCTCTGCCTCCATCCCGTTCCAACATCGGAGGGGACCAGGGAAAGCCGGTCCTCCGCTAGGACACCTGGGTCACGGCATCACTGATACGCCATTGCTTGTGTGAATCCTCACACAGGTCACTGCTGGCCTGTAGCTGGTAAAATGCGGAGTATGGCTTTATTCTTAGCTCTTTAAGCAGGGGCAGAGTTCATCAAGGCTTGAGGCAGTTTAGGGGATGAATTTACAGAACAGGGTGGATGAAAATGGCAGAGGCCTAAGAAGAGAGAAACTGGTTTGAAAGTGCAGCTGGGGCAGCGAGGAGTTAAAGTAGGCATTTATCTAGTTTCCCCTAATTGAGGCAAGAGACCCCCGGTTAGAGTTTCAAGGACCCCCAGATGCAGGAAAATGTTGATTCCACGGGATAAGGACAGACAGCAGCTCCGAGTCTACAGACAGCGGGATCCCCACCAGAACACAAGGCTTCACGTTAAGGGAGCAAACTTTTATTGGCACCGTCATTCCTTTCCTTGTTAAATTAACAGAGTGAAGCAGTGATTTTTTTAAACGGTTAAAGCTGGCTTCTCCCAAACGGGCTCCACTGTGTCAGGCTGATAGGCCTATTCGCTCACGACCACCTGGTTTTGTTGTAAGGAGACAGCCTGTGAAGCAGGCCAGCTCTTCCAAAAAGTTTCCTCATTTGTCCGTATGACCAGCTGAGGTGCACAAAATTAAAAACCCCTATTTAAAAAGGAGCCATGCCACGGAGAAGACCAGAGAGGGGGTGCAGCACTGCAAAGCTCAAGGGATGCAGGGCCCTGGGAGAACAGCTTTCTCCAGAGAGCTGCCGCACTATTTTCCTCCTCAACTTACTCCAAATCTAGAAAGTTCCTCGCTCAGAAGTACTGCCGCTGGTGGCAATCTGTCTTGTGAGGAACTCCACTTCCTATTCCTGTGGAAAGCCTACAGGCCCATGTGGATGTTTGTCTCGCTCCTTGGTGCACGCGGGTTGGGGGGGGCGGCGTGGAGGTGGCGGCCGCAGGAGTCGGGAGCAGCAGGCACTACGCGCAGCACTAGTCTACGGGGGAGGCCTCGCCGTGCCTGCAGCGGGCGCTGACGTGGGCTAAGTGTGCACTGTGACAGCAGGTCCACTGAACGGGCCGGAAGGTGGCAGGCTTCAGATGTGTCTCCTTGGAAGACAGTCTGACGGTAGACACGAGGTTTGGCCCAATCCTTCAGGCCCTGTCCAAAACCTCTTGTATCTCAACTGAATGCAAAGAATAAAAGACATTCCTACCCTCCGTTACCAGCCCAATTGGCTCGATTTAGGGAAAAACTGCCCCGGGGCTGGCAAGACCAGTGCCACAGCAGATTAGATCCTTTTCCAGTACTGCTCAGTGCATGGGATTCCAGCCACAACTTCCGATTCGATTCCACAGTGATCCCGTCCCCGGAGGATTTTAAAGAAGCCTGGGAAGCAAAAGTAATATGCCTTTAAAGTGTGCCTTGGGTTTTGGGCCTTGTCAACATACTCAGACTCACCCCAGAAACACCTAGGAGCGGCAGACCCCAACCCAGCCCTAAAGCAAGCATCAAATCGGCATCGAGGTGCCCTATCGATGTCTACTGTTTGCCCAGGAGCCTGGCACCACATCGTGAGGCCTCTGGACACCACTTCCAGTGGACCCCACATAAACCGGCTCTGTGCCTGGGGTGATGGGGGAACTGTGCGGGCACCAGCGACCTGAAGCTGTCACCTGGTTCACACCACCCTCTCAGGATCAGAGTCTACCCTTATGGCAAGGGAACCCCCAGCTCACTAGCACCCAGAAACCTGAAGGCTCACAGCTGAGTCCTGGGCCTAGTGTTAGGAGCTGTGCAGCAGCTTTTCAGCTGAGCAGAAAAGGACAAGAGGACCACTACGTGCTGGCTCACCACACCCTCCTAGCAGGAAGAGGGCTGCCACTCACCATTGTCGCCCCAGTCAGTGTTCCAGGAGTTGCCAACCAGCCAGTAAGGTGTGTCATTCTCCACGCCCCAGCCCAGGATGCGGACAGCATGGCCTCCCATCATTTCTCCGGTGACGTGCTGGTACACGCCTAAGGGAAAGCCCATTCAGGTAGAGACCAGGCCGATGCCCCATTTCCCACGGCATCCCTGCACCTCAGCCAGCTACCTGTCAGGACAAATGGGGTCCAGAGGGCCCAACGAGCCCTCCCAAAGAACTGCTTGCAAACAGGGTAGTATAAGAGGCCTGGTGTTCTCCCAGAAGGCTCCAGGGGCTCCCACAATGTTCGGAAAGTACTTAAATAGGTTTTTGAAAGCCCAACACTCAAATATGTTGAAAAAATATTAAAATGGGGGTCCCAACAAAATACGCTTCTTGGTCACCTTTAAAACTAAAGTTACAAATTCTAATTTAAGGAAAAAATGGAATGTTAACAAACCAGTTATCTGTTCTACATACTGGGACTCCACGTAAGGATTTATTTGTCAAAAGGGTTCTATAAAACTTAAAAGAGTTTTAACTGCTGCCCTGGGATACACGCAGAGGAGAAGTAGGAGACAGGCCGGATCGGTGGCGGCAAGCACTGATGGATGAAGAAAGATACAGGCGGAGTTGCCCATGGGCCTGTCAAGCAGGCCATCCCCTCATTGGTGAATCACTTTGTCAAATGAAAATGCATCCTTTTGTAATATGGGTGGGGACTGTTAAAAACTGCCAGCTTTATAACTTTTTCCTTGCCAGAATCATCTTTATCCAATGAGGTTTCATAAAAGTTGAGAGGTTTGAAGTTTTCCATCTGGCACAATGTAAATGAGACCAAAGTGGTCAGCTATAGACCGTTCATCTAGAATGGGGGGTTTCTGAGAGGGCTCTTGGGCCAGGGGCTGTCCTCATTCCCCGGGTGAATCCCCACAGCCTCCCACATGGCCAGGTGCTTCCTGTCTTCTCATCCACTGAATGTGAGGCATGATCTGGGACGTGGCCAGGACAAAATGAGGTCTTCTTCCTTGATAGAGTCCTGGTGGTCCCCCGGAACCCAGACCTCCTCTGCTCCCACTGCCATCAGAGGGGCCAATACATACCAGACTTGTATAGCAAGAAGTCCGAAAACACAGAGAAGGCCG